GAATGGGAACCTGGACTTGATCTCTAGGCTCAGAGAGTTGCTGCAGCAAATGAGATACGATTAGTCCAGTGTCACTATCCAGAGTACTCTCTGATGTTGAAATCTCCTCCATTCATCCTATCAGTTTCCAATTTTTTTTCTAATTGTATTATTTTTTTATCATTTAAAAAATGTATTTATTTATTTTTGGCTGCGTTGGGTCTTCGTTGCTGCGCACAGGCTTCCTCTAGTTGCAGCGAGCCGGGGCTACTCTTCATTGCGGTGCACGGGCTTCTCCTTGCAGTGGCTTCTCTTTGTTGTGGAGCACGGGCTCTGGGCGCTCAGGCTTCAGTAGTTGTGGCTCGTGGGCTCAGTAGTTGTGGCACGCGGGCTTAGTTGCTCCGCGGCATGTGGGGTCTTCCTGGATCAAGGCTTGAATCTGTGTCCCCTGCACTGGCAGGCAGATTCTTAACCACTGTGCCACCAGGGAAACCTTCAGTTTCCAAATTTTAGAAACCAATAAATTATTCTGTCCAGAGTTGCATTGCTACATATGGTAGCCGCTATTCAATATGGGGCTATTGAAATCAAGTTAAATTTTAAAACTTCAGTCCCTTAGTCCAAATAGCCACATTTCAAGTGTTCAGTAGCCACAGGGAGCTAGCTGGCCACCATACTGGACAGAGACAATGTGGAGTATCTCCATCATCATGGAAAGTTCTGTTGGACAGTGCTGACCCCAGACTGAGACAATCTGAGACTCAAAAAGCAAAACAACTGCAATGCAATGAAACACACAAAAGATGTTAAAATCTAACAACTAAAAACAACTAATTAGTCACTTTGGGAGGATACTGGGGAACCATTATTCTGAAAACTGGTAACTAATGGAATGAAAATCACACATTTATCCAACCTTTCCTGTATGACCTGTATCTCATGGTAAACAATGAGTCGATAAGGGCACATTCTTATTTACAGGAGAATCCCAGGTGACAAATGCAGAAGGAATGATAGAATTAGGACATCCCCAGTTTGCAACCCCCCCCCTTGAAATAATGGAGCTAGGCAGTGACGATTAATTAAACCAGTAGGTGAAAAACTGATGGGGAACTTTACAGTGGTTGCCTCAGTCTGACTACACCTGAACCCACTGCTCAGATTAAAAACCAGAAAAAGAGAGACAAGCAAGCATGATGTGCTGCCTGTTAAAAGTCCAAGGCACAGTCATATCCATTTTCAAGACAAGGGATCATACATCAAAATGACATACTGATGTATTACATAAAGTTCACCGAGGTACATAGTCCAGGCAAGCACTTACAAAGTGACCGGCAAGTCACCATGACGCCCTACAGAGTTGGGAAAGAATGCTATTCTTTTAAGAAGTTAAAAAAAAAAAAAGTTACACTACTAGCATCAGAAGAAAGGGGGAAAAATTGATCTTTACAGTTGAGCAGTCACTTCTGTCTTTGAGGAGCTCTGGCTAATGTGTAATGCAGATACACACTGCACATTAGGGAGAGAGGGAGGAGGGCCAAACAAACACACAGAGAGAATTTTATGTTTAGTTTCTCTTGTCCTGCCTTAAAATATAAATTTTATATCATCACCAGAATGAGGGAATTTAAGGCTAAGAAAGCTGTGTAACAAACGTCTTCATTAGTCAGCTACCCCTAGCACAAGCCCCTTTGTTAAATCTTCACAAATAATATTTCTTTGTCAAACAATGATATATAAACAGCCTGCTTTGGTCACTTCGGTGGTCCCATTTCTATGAGACTTCCCTGTGTATGAATTAAATTGTTTTTTTCCTCCTGTTAATGTCTTGTGTCAAGACATTAATTATTAGATCAGCTAAAAGAACTCAAGAGAGATGGGGGGAAATTTCTTCCTCCTGGACAGAATTATTTCGTGATGTCTGGGATTTGCTTCAAAATAACCCAGTGGGACTGGGAGGGAGAGGATAGCTGAAAAAACGTTGGTCATGTGTTGGTAATCACTGAAGCAGAACGGTAGGCTTCAAATGGGGTTTTCTTTATTTTTCTTTATCTTTACATATATTTGAATATTTCTGTGATTTTAAAAATGTTTTTCTAAATTCTTTTATGACCAGTTCAAATGTAGGGACATGTGAGTTCCAGCCCTGGGACGAGTGGCCCCCTGGGCAAGGACACTTGGTCACCAGCAATACCTCCTATGGCCACAGGGTGGCTCCAAAAATCGCTTTTGTGAGACTGTAGAGCAGGCTTCCCTGAACCAAGGTCATGGAAAGTGACAGGACAGACCTAAATGCTTGCTGTTTACTAATTCACAATGTGAACTGTAACTGCCCAGTTCTTACTATCTATAGGTCCCCTAGGCAGGAAGGCTATTATGAGCAGAATACCCCAAACTTCCAGCTGCTGGAGCCCAAAATCTAACAGTCATCCTTGACTGCTCCCTTTTTCTCATCCACCCACAGCCCCATGTTCAGACTTTATCTTCTAAGGATCTCTAGATTCCTTCCACTTCACTCCACCTCCTTGACTCCACTCTGGTCCAATCTCATCCTATCTTTCTTGGATAACACCATGGCTTCTTCACAGACCTTCTGCTTAAAATCTTAAAATCCATTCTCCATGTTGCAACCAAAGTCATCTATGTATGTTATACAAATCTGAGCCTGTCCCTCCCCATGGCTGCAAGGCCATGTCCCTTGTCTACCCATCCCACCTCGCCCTGATCTCTTCTTCCCCTTCCATTATGGGCTTCAGACACACTAGCTCCCTTTCTGTTCAACAAATACACTGGGCTTGTTCCCACCTAAGGATCTTTGCACTTGCTGTGCCTCACCTGGCATGCTCTTTCCCCAGATCCTCATACAGCTGACTCCTTCTGTTCATTCTATTTGCTCCAGGGACCTTGGAGAATCTTGCAAAAGCGGGTCATGGGCTTTCCTCACTTTCACTCTAGGACAGTGCTTCCTTCACCTGTGAATAGTCAGACCTGATAAACTGTCTGGGGGAGCGTGGCTCTGAAGTCCTGGGCTTTCTATTCCCAGGGAAAAGTTCTAACGAGGACATTCTCTTCCATAAAGGCAGTAGAATTATCAAAAACTCAGGAAATTAACACCGATACAATACTATTATCTAGGCTAGAGACCTTATTCAAATTTTGCCAGTTGTTCCACTAATGTCCTTTATAATAAAAAAATTTCTTTCCTGATCCAGGATCCATTAGGATCACACATTAAATTTCTCATGTCAAATTTGGCACGTCTTTTTATTTTATTTTATTGAAGTATAGTTGTTTCACAATGTTGTGTTAATTTCTGCTGTAAAGCAAAGTGATTCAGATATATATATATATAGATAGATAGATAGGTATATAGATAGATAGATATTCTTCTCCATTATGGTTTATCAAGGATATTGAATATAGTTCCCTGTGCTATACAGCAGGACCTTATCGTTTGCCCATTTTTGTCACATCTCTTTGTCTTTCATGACCTTGAGGAAACATCTTTTGACTGTCTCTTTGACTTATGAATTTTTTCACCCACTGGTTTAGAAAAAAGGAAATCCATTTATTACACTGGGGACCTGGAAGAGAGAAAAGCATTTCCTCTCATTTTTGACCACATTTCCTAAAACAAAGTTTAAGAACAAATGACCCATTTTCAAAGAAACTTTCCTTGATCACATTATTCTAATATTTCCCTTAAAAATTTTTATTTACAGCACTTATTATCATGCAGATATATTATTTGTTTGCCTGTTTGTCGTCGATCTCTCTGACCCCAGGAAGGTAGACACTTCTGACTTGTTCCTCAAGAACATGAGCCCAGCACAGTGCCTGGGACTTATAGCTAGTCAATGAATATCTGTTGAATGAATGAATGAAGAAATAAAAAATGCCTCTAGGGTTTGTAGTTTAGACCCTCCTAGAAGCACTGAGATGAAGAGTGGTGATAAAAGAAATGTTCACATATTGAGGTATGGGGAAGTCATTCTGGCTTAAACATGAGCTAACTTGAATTTTTGTTTGTTTTTGTTTGTTTTTTTTTTTTTGCGGTACGCGGGCCTGTCACTGTTGTAGCCTCTCCCGTTGCGGAGCACAGGCTCCGGACGCGCAGGCTCCACGGCATGTGGGATCTTCCCGGACCGGGGCACGAACCCGTGTTCCCTGAATCGGCAGGCGGACTCTCAACCACTGCGCCACCAGGGAAGCCCCTAACTTGAATTTTATGCTAACTAAAACAGCCTGTTTGTGGCCTATCAAACATACATTGTACACCTGCTTTATTAAAGAAAAGGGCACACTGACCAGAAGTAAAGAATGTCCATGTTAAAAATAAACATGGCATCTTGGGATGCCAATGCTGGTCCTCTTTTGATGATGACTCCCTTCCCAGGTGCCAACACCATACTGACTTGCTGTATACTCATGGTCTGTTCTTTTTTTTTTTTTAAACCATGAAGAAATGTAACACTTACTTGTTTAATGTTCTTTGTTCTGACCAGATATAAAACTGTACTGGAAACCATGCTTCCCTGGGGCAGTTTCTCAGAGTGATCTGGGAAGTGGGCTTCCGGGCTAGTCCTTAGTTTGGTTCAAATAAAACTCTTTTCTATTCTTACTATAGATGTTTATCCATTATTATTCTTGACAGTAGGAAGAGAGATGATCTGGTAAGTGGGTAGGGAGGCCCCTGCGAGGTTGTGACTAGACTGTGAGCAATGAATGCGGGCGAGAACTTTCAGTTCTGCAGGGATCCCCTTTGAGGCCCAAAGGTCAGTGAGGTCGCGATAGTGAGAGATGCTTGGACTGTAGTTGGGCTAAGTCGTGCCCACAGCTCAAAGAGATAAGGAAATCGTTGCGGAGTCTGCATCTCCGCCCTCGATCCTTGCCTCCCAGGGACGCAGGGTTTCATTCTCTTCCTCCACTCCCCGCTCCACCCCCTTTTCTCGTACACTCCCTTCCTCCCTAAACACGCCTCTCATCCACACCCTAGTTCAGGAGAGCGGGCCATTTTCTGCCCACTGCAAATCCCTCACCAATCTGAGCAAGTTGTCTGGGGAGTTGGTTGGGGGGAGCCCGAATCAAGGAAGGTTCAGGTATGAACCTTGTCCGCCGGCAAGCGGTTGTCCGCCGACAACCAGGGGCTCCGGGAGAATAAACGACAGCCGGACAACGTAGGGGCATCCACCTCTCCAAGTTCGGCCCAGGGCAGGTGGAAGCTAAACGGATGCGGAGGATGGAAGAAAAGAGAGTGTCCAGGCCTCAGGCATGGCGATGCCCTAAGGCCGGCGTGGCGGTGACAGTGGTATCCGGAGGGTCGTCCTGGGCAGCGCAGCGGGGGCTGGGGGCCCGGCGGCTCCCGGCATGGGCATCCGGAGAGGAAGGAGTGTCCCGGGCTAGGCAGGGCGGGTTTCCGTTCGCCGTGGCTGCGCGGGCAGAGTCGGCAGTGCGGGACCGCGCCACCGCCGCACACTCTCAGGTACCGACAGCTCGGCTGCGCGCGGGGAGGCGGCTGGCTGTCCGCACCCGGCCGGGATGAGGTACAGAGGACCCGTACCCACGATCCTCTGGGGGTTCTCGGCGGCGCGATAATTTACTGCTCTCGCGATATTCTCAGAGATTCGCGTCGTAGCCCCCGCTTATGCGGTTACCAAGGCAACTGGGCGGCCCCAGCGCGAGCGGGAGGGCGGAGTACGTCGAATTTTTGTAGGCTAGCCTGGGAGACTTGAGGAGTGCCTCTCCCTGAGCTTCCAGTCCCAGAGACCACGGCCTCTGCTCCAGGAGGTAACCCTTACCCAGGGGGCCATGGGTCGGATCTCGGGACTCGTGCCCTCTCGCTTTCTGACGCTCCTGGCGCATTTGGTGGTCGTCATCACCTTATTTTGGTCGCGGGTAAGACCCATGGCCCCCCTCCTCTCGCCCTCCTTCCCACCTTGGGGTGGTCCCAGCCCTACCGCACCTTTTCCCCCGGGGCCTTACCCGGTGGGGTCCTCCCATTCCCCCGCCATCCGCCGCCCGACCCTCTTTCAACTTCTCTTTCTTTCTGCCCTGTTCCCCAGGACAGCAACATCCAGGCCTGCCTGCCTCTCAAGTTCACCCCTGAGGAGTATGAAAAGCAGGACATGCAGTGAGCACTTGGGGCAGGGTGGTCAGAATTAAGCAGTAGTGGGAGTGAAGGGGTGTTAGAAAAAGGCCAGAAGGCCTAAGCCAGCTCCCTTCCTTTCTGCAGGCTGGTGGCAGCGCTCTCTGTCACCCTGGCCCTCTTTGCAGTGGAGCTGGCCGGTTTCTTCTCAGGAGTTTCCATGTTCAACAGCACCCAGAGCCTCATCTGTATCCTTTCTACTTGTGCACCTTTCCTGTACGGCCCATTTCCATCTTAACGCCCTTCAGCCACCTAACTAGGCCTTTCTGGCACAGTGGTGTTTGCCCTAGCAGTCAAACAGAATCCCTCCAGTTGAGAGATCTTCTTAGGTAACGTAGAAGATTTAATACAATCTTTGATCATTTGTTAAGCTCCTGCTATGCGTCAGGCACTGGAGATCTGAAAATGGGAGTAAAACACAGTTTTCTATCAGACACACAGACAGACATCTGTAATTCAGTGTGATAAGCACTGTACCATAGGATGTGTAAAGATGTGAAGCACTATGGGAATGCAGAAGAGACTGAGGAAGATGGATCAGGGAAGGCTCTTGACACTGGGATAGTGGACGGGGAGGACCAGGTGCTGGAGAGTGATTCTAGCAGGGTGTATAATGTCACTGTGAGCATTCCCGTGTGCTTGGAGTAGGTGGGGAGCCTACTACTTCACCTGATAGATATGGGGTGGCGGTAGCTTGGGGCCCCAGCTGTGCAGGCTCAGTTCTGGCCTCCACTCACATGGCAGTCCTAAAACTCAGAAGTCAGGGCTGCTGGCTCTGGCCTTTGCAGTGTGGTAAAGGGAGCAAGAGGTGCCCTGCTCTCCAGGAGGTGAAACAGAATGCAGATGCCAGTCCCACCACTGGCCTTTTCTGGCCCATCACTACCTATTGATCCAAAGGCTTTCCTTGACTCTGGTGCGTTCCCAAGCCATTGGGGCTCACTGTAGTGCATCTGTGGCCCTATCCTTCTTCATATTTGAGCGTTGGGAGTGCACCACATACTGGTACATTTTTGTCTTCTGCAGGTATGGTAGCACCCAATGTTTGAGGACGGGGAAGGACGGTTTACTTTAAATCTGAAGGTTTCCCCTACCCAGCCCTTTACTCCATGTATATCAGATCCACTCAACATCCCGTGGTCTTTTTGAGGTCCCCCACTCCTACCCTTTGGGGGTGGGATTGCTGGCTTGGGGATTTGGATATTTTTATTGGAAGGGACCCTGAACCTATCACCTACCTTCCATAGTGCCATCCCAGCCGTCACCGAAATAGCATTATTCATCAGCGTCTTTGGGCTGAAAAAGAAACCTTTCTGATACCTTCGTGACTGGAAGTAGGGATGAAGGCTGGAGAAGCGAGGGACCACTCACTGTTCCTGGAAGAAGGAAACCATAGACTTCAGCCCTCCCCCTAAAACTGCATTTGGTGGAGGATGTCAGTGTTAGGGTAATTGTCTCTCGAGTCTGGAGTTACGAGTTTTGTTTACAGTTCTTCGTAAAAAAAATATATTTTAGGGTAAGATCAAGACTTACTGGAATTCCGTGGCGGTACAGTGGTTAGGACTCCGCGCTTCCACTGCAGGGGGCGCGGGTTCGATCCCTGGTCGGGGAACTAAGATCCCGCATGCCGCGCAGCGTGGCCAAAAAAAAAGATAGATCAAGACATAAAAATTTCAGGAGAAAATTGGGGTGGCCAATCTACTATAGAAACGGAACAGTCTTGCACTCTAAGATACTAGATGTCGCTTTTATTTTGGTTATTACGGTAGATTTCTGGCGGAAGGGAGTGGGCGGGGATATGTAAATAAAGTGAGGCGGCCGGGTAGGACAGCAGGCTCTTAAGTGAGTGGAGCGTTCTGGGAGGAATTAGCCTATGCTTTTTTGACGCCAAATGCAAAAATATATTTTATAACATCTGCAAATAAATGTAGTAACAGAAATGGAAGAACCTAGATAGCTTTAGGTTGCTCAGGGTAACGTGTTGGGTTCTCACCCTCTCTCAAAGTGGAATCTTTTTCCCAGAGTACGGAATGCCCCAGAGTTTTTTTGTATCGTCAGGTAGGATAATCCTTACCTGTTTCTCCTTTTGGAGAACAGAATAGAATATGATGATTGGAGCACGCATGATTTCGTGATTAACGGCTGTGCGTAATCAGGCTTTGCAACATCCTGATTGCTCCTCTCTGATTCTTTCTGACGATTTTCATCTTTAGTTTAATTTTATTCTATGGGTAGTAGTTAGTCGTTTTTAGTGGTAAGGTGTACTTGCTGAAAGAGAAAATGGGCGTGTAGGGTTTGCGGCGTTATTCGTGTCCGGAGTACAGGGATTTCTTGGGGTTTGTTAGTGATGAGTTGTTGTTTTTCGAAGGAGAAAGCTTAGGATTTTTTTTTTTTTCCTTTGGAGAGGTCATGTAGCGGTAGTTCGTAGACATACGTTAAATACTGCGGTAGTAAATGCTGGTTAATGTTGTTTTTTAAGTTTCTAATGACGTGATATGTGTCCTTGGGTTTTTGAGGAGTGGGTATTCTGTATTTGTTATGGTTTTATTCTGGCAGTATTAGTATTGAATCTTTAATTTCGCTTTGCAGGAGAGAGTTGTGTGTTTCACTTCAGTTTCCTTGTAGTGGAATCTTTCTTTTAAGAACCTGTTGAAGCTTCTGTTTTCAGTCAGTAGTGTAAGTAAGAGTACCCTGTTTTTGCTTGGTAGTTTATAGTAAGAATATGTTCAAAAAGAAGTTATTGAAACGCGCTGTTAGGTGTTGTGAAAACTACAGGAGTCGAAGGTTTGCTCTTGTCACGGGGTGAGTATATTTATTTGCAAGCTCACGTTTTCAAGAGAAGGGTTGTTGTGTGTTGGGAAAGTTTTGTTCGTACATTTCAGTTTTAAAAGGTGGAGTCCAGGCCTTTTTTTTTTTTTTTTTTAAGCGGTACGCAGGTCTCTCACCGTTGTACCGTTGTGGTCTGTCTCGTTGCGGAGTACAGGATCCAGACGCGCAGGCTCAGCGGCTATGGTTGAGAGGCCCAGCCGCTCCGCTGCATGCGGGATCTTCCCGGACCGGGGCACGAACCGCGCGGTCTCTGTATCGGCAGACGGACTCTCAACCACTGCGCCACCAGGGAAGCCTCAAGTTGTTTTAAACAAGCAAAAACACATGCAAGGAGATGTTTTCTGGTGATACCCTGCAGGTGATTCCTATACGTAGATAACCTTATCCTAGCTCTCTCTGTTTTCTGGCAGCGCTACTTTATGGATACTAGTACTGTATGCTGTAGTAGGCACTGAGGGAGCAGATGTTTGATACTCGGCCATCACAGATATTGCGGCTCATGGAAAGAGACAGAAGTGTGTGGTACTCCCAGAGTAGTTTAGTTCTAAATTGTTATAAAAGCTGCAGAGGCGATTTACAGGTGCTACGAAGGAGTGATGAAATTGTCGAAGGTGGCAGGAGTGCTGCTTCTCAGGAGCTGTTTGAGTGAGGTCCTCGAGTGTGGCTGGAGCAGAGAAAAAAGGGAGCAGGTTGTCCGCGAGAAAAAAAAGGTGGACCTTTGCAACGTCACGGGTTCGAGCCCTGGCTCGGGAGGATTCCACATGCTGTGGAGCAACTACACCCATGCGCCATAACTACTGAGGCTGAGCGCTGGAGCCTGCAAGCCACAACTCTTGAAGCCTACACGCATTAGAGCCTATGCTCCGCAACAAGGGAAGCCATGAAGCCACGACAATGAGAAGCCCACGCACTGCCACAAGGACCCAACGCAGCCAAAAATAAGTTAATTAATTAATTAATTAAAAAAGAATCTTTGGGCTTCCCTGGTGGCGCAGTGGTTGAGAGTCCGCCTGCCAATGCAGGGGGCACGGGTTCGTGCCCCGGTCTGGGAAGAACCCACATGCCGCGGAGCGGCCGGGCCCGTGAGCCATGGCCGCTGAGCCTGCGCGTCCGGAGCCTGTGCTCCGCAACGGGAGAGACCACAACGGTGAGAGGCCCGCGTACCAAAAAAAAAAAAAAAAAAAGAATCTTGAAATGTCATGTCTATAGGCTGTTACACTGTGAATAGCACAGAAAGTTGAGGATACATTCCAGGATTTGAAAACTGTTGTCAGTTTCAGCAAAGAAATCACTCAAGTCATTGAGGAATCTGTGAGGTTTCAGCATATCGTGTGTTTCATTTTTATCTTACTCAAAAACGTAAATGAAAACATCAACGAACGTTCACGTTGGAACTGCACTTGTACTTAGGCTATAACTCCATTTATGAAATCATGGATACAGAATAGCATTTACAATAAAAAAAATATTGTACATTTTATTTGTGGATTCTGTTACATATCCTTTATATCAGTAAAATTTATAATAAACTTATGTACATACACAAATGCATACTTTTTTTGGAAAGTGGGTTGTTAAACATTTACCAGCACTTTCTTGCTCCTGCAATAATCCCAAGAAACCTCTCATCACCAATGATTTCCTTGTTCCTAAATCCAGAGGTTCCCTCTCAGACTAGAGTTTGATCTCTTTCCAATATGCTGACCACTCCCCTCATTTGAAATTTGTTCTCCCTTCGTTTCTGAAATTAGTTCCCCTGGCTTACCTCCCCCTGTTCTGGCTGCTCCTTTTTAGGCTCAGCTAATGAATATTGACTGAGAACCCAGAGCTGGCCAGTCACTGGGGACATATTACTGGGTTGTCGCCTCTGCTTGCCTCTTAAGTGCCGGTGGTCACTACTCCTTGGGTGACTTCATCCACCTCTTCAGACATCACCCAGATGCTGCTGGTTTCCATGCCTTGGCTCTCTTCTGTGATCCCCAGCCTGGGGCAGAGACCAGAAGCGAGCTGTGGAGCCAATCCTGGGGTTAACGTGCACCCTCTCTCCTTGGTTGTGTGATCACCAACAGGTCACTAAACCTCTCTGTGCCTCAATTCCTTCACGCTCCAGAAGTACTTACCACGAGCACCTCAACTATCTATCTCTTAGCCACCACCCGAGGCTTTGCCAATTAGCATCAAAAATAGGTTTTCATTTTATTGTGAAATTAGTGGCTTGTTAATCAGCGTCAGCCAGTCATGAAAAAACAAATACTGCTCGAGTCTACTTATATGAGGGACCAAGAGTAGAGGCTCAAAGTCATAGAGACGGAATGTAGAACGGTGGTTGCCGAGAGCCGGGGGAGAGGAAAAGGGGGAGTTGTTTAATGGGTAGAGAGTTTCAGTTCTGCAAGATGAAAAGAGTTCTGGAGATTGGTTGTACAACAATATGAATGTACTTAGCACTACTGAATTGTACACTTAAAAATGGTTAAGATGGTAAGTTTTATGTATTTTTTATAATTTAAAAGTAAAAAAAATTAAAAATCAGTGGGGAAAGGGATTAGTCAGTAAAGTTTATTAGAACAACTGAGTAGCCATTGGGGGGAAAATATGGATCAATACCTTATAATTTTAGAGCACAGAAAAGTTTCAAAAACAGTACAAATGTCCTGTATACCCTCACCCAGCTTCTCCAGATGTTCACATCTTGCATAGCCATGGTATAATTATGGAAACCAGGAAATTAGTGTTGATACAATACTGTTAACTAATCTACAAGTCATATTTGAATTTTTCCGGTTTTCCCATTAATACATTTTTTCTGACTCAGGATCTAATTCAGGATTTCACATTGCATTTAGTTGTCACGTCTCCTTAGGCTTTTCCAACCCGAGACAGTCCCTTTTTTTTTTTCCTTTCATGATCTTGACACATCTGTAGAGTACTGGTGAGTTATTTTACAGAATGTCCCTCAATTTGGATTTGTCCAATGTTTCCTCGTGATTAGTTAGATTGAGGTTATGCATTTCTGGTAAGAATACCACAGAAGTAAATAGTTTGGAGTAGGGAAGACATAAGTATGAAAACAAGATGCAGAAGTCATAAAAGACTGATATATTTAAATCTGTATTTAAAATGTTAAAAGTATGCATGGTAAAAAAAAGCAAAAGTTAAAAGACAAATGAAAATCTAAAGAAAAATATTCATAACTCGTATTACAAAGAGCTAATTTAGATACATAAAAATGTCCTACAAATCTGTAAGAAAAATACCGACAACCCAATAAAAATGTACAAAAAACTGTACAGACATTTCACAGAACAGGAAATATAAAAGGAAATATAAAGAACTCTCAAATATAGGAAGGGATGCCTGACTTCATTCAGCATAAGACAGATGCAAATCATGCCTAACTTACAATGACCAAGAAGTTTCATAGAGAGTTGAAGAGGGTATTGGGTTTAAGTAAACAAGCCTCACCTGTTTGTTGGTGGCGGTAACACATCCACCTGAGAGCAATTTGGCAATATTCCATCAAAATCAAAATCAATCACAAGGACCCATACCCTTTGACCTAGGACTTTCACATCTAGGAATTAGCCCTTCAGATTTGCACACAGGTAGAATGGGGATGTGTAGATTATTCCTTGCAGCTTCGCTTGTAGTGGCAAAAGATTGGAAGCAAATGTCTGTCAACAGGAAGTTGGTTAAACTGCATTACCACGTAACACTGCAGCCAGGACGAAAGCAAACCTTATACACGGTTATGGAACAGTCTCCAAGATACTTAAGTGACAAAAGCAAGTTACAGAACAGTTCGTGTTGTGTTCTTCCATTGGTGGAAAGCTATGTGCACAGAGCATCTCTGGAAGGAGGGAAACTACTGGGAGGACTGGGGCTGAGAGGTGGAAGCTGGAGGGCTGGGAGAAAAGGGTGAGAGAGAGACTTTCTCCATATGCTCTTTTGAATTTTTGGAATTTTGAACCACATTCATTTTTTTTTTTTTTAACTAACATTTTAAAAGAATGTGAGCCTGCAGCTGCTTCTGTTCCCTGTCTGGAAATGAAGCTAAGGCAAAGGCCAGCAGGGCTGGAAACAGAGAACCAGATCCCTGATGACATCACATGAGCACCTGGACCCTGCTGTTTCCAGCTACACTCCAGTCATGTGAGCCCTCAGAGCCTCCTTTCTGGTTTAAATCTGTCTGAGCTGTGTTGGCAAGTGTCTTGATCATTACGTCCGTCAAAGATCATGGTGGGTGCTTTTTTTTCCCTCCAGCTTTATTGAGGTATAATTGACAAACATGATGTGTTGTGGGTTTTGTTTTTGTTTTTGTTTTTTTTTGGCCGCACCACTTGGCTTGCGGGATCTTAGTTCCCCGA